CTCGGAGCTGGTTGGCGCTGCCTGTGGGAAGCCCTTGGCCAGGGATTTCCACGCTGTGCGCAGCCACGTCCTGGAGCACGTGAACGTGAAGAGCCAAACGTGCGGCGTGTGCGACCAGCGGCACCTCAGCCTCTGCAGCCTCCTGTGGCACGCGCTGGCCCACGTGGGCGTCTCCGTGTTCTCCTGCTCCGTGTGCGCCAACAGCTTCGTGGAGCGGCACCTCCTGGAGAAGCACCTGGCCGTGCACCGGAGCGCCGAGGAGGCTGTTTTCCGGTGCCACTTCTGCGGGCAGAGCTTCAAGCTGGAGGCGGCCTATCGCTACCACGTGAGCCAGCACAAGTGCGGCGGCAGCCTGGACGCGCGCGCCGGCTTCGGCGAGCGGCTCCAGCCGCAGGGCCTGCAGAAGAGGAAGCTCCCGGAGGAATTCCTGAGCGAGGACGTGGCCCTGCCGAGCCCGCCGGGCAACAGCAAGTACAGCTGCAAGGTGTGCGGCAAGCGGTTCGCGCACACCAGCGAGTTCAACTACCACCAGCGCATCCACACCGGCGAGAAGCCCTACCAGTGCAAGGTGTGCCACAAGTTCTTCCGCGGGCGCTCCACCATCAAGTGCCACCTGCGGACCCACGCGGGCGCGCTCATGTACCGCTGCACCGTGTGCGGCCACTACAGCTCCACGCTCAACCTCATGAGCAAGCACGTGGGCGTGCACAAGGGCAGCCTGCCCCCCGACTTCACCATCGAGCAGACTTTCATGTACGTTATCCATTCCAAAGAGGCCGAGAAAAACACGGACAGCTGATGGGGCCGGCAGCGGCGACGGAGCAAATGCGGATTGCAGAGGCTGGGGGAAAGCGGCGTTTGGTTTAGCGAACGCTCCGACGTCCCGGATGGAATCCTCCTCGTTTATTCCTTTGGGTTTCGGGGCCTTAGGAAGGTGTTTCTCACTGGCATTGTACAAATGAACAGCACATACGCCACATCACCCCAGAAGTCTGTCGTGTTTACTTACCTCTGCTGTTAGGGGACGTCGAGTTGTGTCTTCTTAGCGTTTCTCACTAGGTTTTCCATCTAGGTTTGTTTTTCGTTGCAGTTTTTAACCCTTTTACCCGTTTGCCCAGGCCAACCCTCCGCGAACTGCTGCTGCTGCGATAGTGAGCCCTGACCTCGGGGCAGAGCGAGGCAGTGCCGGACTCGGAAAATAACTTAAAAAGGACAAGAGAACGGACTTGTCGCGAGCACTGCCGGGCTCTGCTGCCGCCGTGGACACGGGCACGGCCTGTGGCCTGGGACTGGC